TACAAAGCTCTTCTTTCATAGGGCTCGCTAGATCCACGCCACAGTCAACTGTTTTGTGTTTTATTTGCAGGTGCATCCCCTATCCCTTTTCACTGTAAACAAACAGTACTTAAAGAAAAGAAAAACTTCACATGGTCCTCCCTGTTGTTGTTTAACTCTGCTTAGATGCATTATCCTTCATGACTGAATAGCCTTAACTAATACTGAGTGCATCAAGCAACAGTTAAGGTTATTACACTCAAATTAATTTTGATGCCATTTATACAAATGCATAAATATAGAAGCAGCTTAGCAATTAACCTGTTGGTATAAATATTTAAGTTATTATAATATTCCATATATGATTTGTTTTGCCTTCAGGCCCACTTTGTGCATCTAAATGCTTTGTATATATGTGATGATCCTTCATTGAAAAATTACTGTGAAACCTTTCTGGGATGAAAAGTTCATAAATGTGCAATAGATGTGAACTTCTAGATGTGAACTTTCCTGGATGTGAGTTCAGGCAGAAAACTAAGGCTTTAGGAAGCTCTGATATGCCAATATCCTTAATGAAATCTTAGGGATGTCTAAGCTAGGAATGTAGGCTACATGAGGTTCTGGCCACTTCCAGTGGAGCTGTGTTCATGCTAGGAGGAGAGATCAGAAATAAGAGATGGTTCTTCCTATCTAAGGAAAGCCATGTCAAGCAGAGTACCACTGTATGCCCTAGCAGATACACTAATCAGTTTAAGTAACAACGGAACAATGTAACCAAACATGATAAAGGAAAAGTCATACATTGATAAATGCCTAAAAGGCAGAACATCTCAAAAGCAATGTTAAACCAGGATCTATCATCCTACCCAAAAAACCCTGGTCTTTGCCTGGCAGAGCCTTGTTGGGAGCAACAGTTCCAGTCACAGAGGCTGCCTCCAACTGACCTTCAGAGTTTGTCCATCCCCCATCAATCGCATCCAGCACTCCTCAGGAGTCTGTGGAAGAAGTGGTCACACAGAATGGGGAGGATAGCCAGCACCTGGATATTTATCTTAATCTTACCAATTAATATAGGAAATGGATATTCTAAATTCAAACCTATAATATTTCCATGTTGACTTTTTCTTTCAATTTACTAATGTGGCAAATTCTAGTGCTGCCTTTGGAGCCATTTAAGAAAACTTCCCTGACCTAATCCTGTATATTGATGTAAGGGGGAAGAGAGGTTAAACATATGCTTAACTCTCTCATATTAAAGCCAGGGAGACTTAAGAAATGCTTGATCTTGGCTGAAATTACTGTTTTGCTGAAATTACTTCTTGGACATAGGTCTATGGGGTCTAAAATTGGATGTCAAACATTTAACCATCTTTTACATTAAGTTCTTAATTTAGCTGCTGAGTAAGTTCACACATTACTAGCCATGTGACAATAGTAGTTACCCCTTGGCACCAGCAATGTGAGAAAGAGCTGTCACCAGTCACCGTGCAATTAATCATCACCTGTTTTCACCTCAGGCAACTCCAGAATAAAAGCGGACAAACTGGGGAGCAAAAAAATATGAGATATAATGGTTATCAGAGTTGATTTTTTGAATCAACTATCTATTCCTTAGCTTACACATGGGAACTCACACTTATGGGTATCAGTTGATTTGTTATTGTTAGAGCAGAATGCTGGATCTTCTACCCAGATTCAGTAAACTGCAAACACTTTATTTGAATCTCCATGAGGTAAAGCACTAGTTGACTTCAGATACGTGGTTGCTATGGTTCGTGAACTGCAATTTATACTTTTGTGCCTATTTTTAGGGTGCCAATTTTACCTTCTTTCCTCTTGGAAATGGAACCATTAGGCACTTTCAGAAGCAAGACACAAGAATAGAATTGATTCCTGCTCTAAGCAGAGCTACAGCTTTAAAAAGGATGAGACAAAAGTCTGCAGCCTTTTTTAAGGCCTTCAGAATGTGGGTGGAAGTTTCCAACCACAACCTTTGTATCTTTATTATGATCTTTGTAGAAATCCCACACATGCAGCTGCAAAGTCAGGTTTGCCAAACATTTCAATAGAATCTTCCACAGCTGTATAAGGGGGCCCTCTGCAGACATTCTAATTACTGTATGTACTTTGGAGAAGGGGAGAGGAAGTCTGAAACTATTGTTTCCTTGTGGGTTTGCTCTGAATGTCTGAAAAGGGGTTTTATGGTCAGAGGCCACTTTCTGTGCTCAGAACAAGGAAATGGCTTAATTTGTCACCTAAACAGAACAAATTCTACAGTTTTTTAAAACATAGATCTATTGCATTAGGAAGAATGTTTTCATGAAAAACAGAGTGGGTTCAGAAAACACAATCACCTACACTCAAGTATTTGCAAGTTGAACAATGGATTCTTGTAATGTGGGTTCTTGTGGATTCTTGTGTGTTATAACGTGGATTCTTGAAATGTGGGTTATTGTGTTGTCTGAACCCAATTGCACTAATAAACCATGGTGAACAACCCACAATTCATGATCCATCAGATCTCTTCATGGTTTGTTAATGGTTAAGAAGCCAAAGCTTGTTAGTGTAGCTAGGTTCATACAACATGATAATCCACATTTCATCAGCAACTCATGGTTCGATAGCAACCCACAGTCAACTTTTACTCAACCATTGAGTGTAAGTTATTGTGTTTACTGATCAATCAATCATATGGTGTACTAAACTATAACACTTATACAGTATGTGGGTCACCTAATTAATCCTGCTCATCACGCATTCTTTTAGGTTAGGGGAGAGCAACCTGGAGGCTGTAAGTCTAATTAAAAACATTGGGATACTGGAGTGGACTGGATACCTTTTTTGGCCCTTTTCGCTCTCCAAGCCCCACCCCTTAGCCCAGGGAAAGGATATATTTGGTATCTAATCCCGTTATCTCCTGCAACCACCAGGTGAGATGCTCTCTACTCTTCCCATAACCCATTCTGGATTTGAATGGGGCAGGAGGGAGGTACACAACTTGGGCAGTGCCTATAGGAATCACCCTCTGCACGCACCAACTAAGTCCCTTTAAACCTATTCATGTTCTGGCTGGGGAGACAGGAGGCAGTTGGCCAAGTTGCTCTTTCTGCATGGAAAAAAGTGAGCCTTGGTTTGGACACCCTTTGCATATATGCACATGTACATATGGATAGATAGATAAATATAGATAGATAGTTTTCAGGAAAAGGTCAAATTTAGGCTTGATTTGCTTGCACAGAAGCAGGTGGCAGAATAGGCTGTACTACTTCAGATTACAGTGTGAATCTTGCCTATATATAAATAAAAACCCTTGTAAGTGAAAAAATTAAAAATAAAAATGTATGATAGGAATACAGGGTCTAGTCCAGACTATTCATTATTCTAGTATTATACTGCAGGAGGGGGTTTTTCTGGTTTTTTTCTCACATAGGAATTAAGACTTCAATTTCATGCAACATGCAGTGAGTGTGTGGTAGCACCATTCCACCTCCTCAGAAGTTGTAACAATTGATTCTTGCCTCACTGAAGCATATGACCAGACTCACTGTCAAGCTCAGCAGATTTTTCAACCAAGCAACTGTAGCTAATATGGCAGCATTAACTGTATCAATGAACTGAACTGCTTTGCACTAATCCAGGTTAGTAGATTTAGAATTCTTTTTCTCAAGCATTCAGCCATGACAAAGATTTAAGTCTTTTTTTACTTCTTGTTACAAGGATTAAATAACAACTGCTTTCCACTCCAACCAAAACTTGCCTGTAAATTAATGGCAAGCAAATTAAAAATATTTCTCAGATGCACAGGGGTGGGAGAGAGACCTGTATTTTTTCCCTTTAGGTAACCCTAAGATCTGTGCATCTTCTTTTAAGGAAACAGATAAGACAAATACTGGTTTAAACAGGGGGAAATGCAATAATAATCTAGAGTCATATATATAATAAGTCCAGTTATGGGTTAATACCCTATGAACTGTAATGCTTTTGTCAGCCTTGAAAATGGATCTTACATTCAAGAACTGCATCAAATCCTGGATTTTATTTCAATAATGTTTAAATGTGGAACACCACCACCAAAAATAACACTTTATGAAGCTTGCAGCATTTTATTATATTAGTGCAGAATGCATGACTATGTTTATTTTAAAATATGAATCCATTTTTGAAAGCATCTCTTAACAATTAGTTGCTGACAACTAGAACTTTAAGTAAGGTAGGCTGGTATATTTTGAATGTTTGGCTCTGCCCCTTTTGCCCTATCCACTTGTCTTTGACCCAGTCCTTCACTGGAATGTAATCCAAGTGAGCTTCAAAAATTTAATTTGATCGACAGGATGGAAAAGGTCCCCACCCCTGCTCTAAATCCAGTGTGTTACCTCCAGAAGTTGCTGTCCCTTCCCTTTTTCTTAGGTTCCAGATACAATATTATTTTCAAGTAACAAGATGGAGTTGGGAAGCTTCAGGAAGGGAGATGCAGCAGGAAAGTGATGGCTGAGGAAAGAGTTAAGCATCTTGCTGCCCTTGTTGATTCTGTACTGAGTATCTCCCAAAGTAGCTATTCCTCAGCAAATGACCATCTTTTGTAGCATGCATTGGCATATAACAGTTCCAGGTTTATGTTCCTTTGACTGTGGCACTTAACCATGTTTTTATTGATAATGCAAAGCATAATGTATGTATTATTAAAATCTACTTTTATGTTCATAGATGGTGCAGACCTGATTTGATTATTTTTCTTACACATTATTCATAACTTAGTCCAGGATGGGGTGTGGCAAATTAGAAGGCAACAAAACATGAACACTGACATGTCAGGGATATTATAACAGCTGCAGATAAATACACAGACCTAAATGATTTGGATCAAGGTGCAGTGAGACAATTTGAGCACCCCTAGTTTGGACGGGAGTCCTTATACTGAAGGCAGGGAAACAGATGGCTCTTGGAAGCACCACCTGAAGTTACTGTGTCCCATGGCAATGTGACCCCACAAATGATGCACCACATCCTATTTTTCCTCTTACCTTCCAGATTCGAAGGTGAACCATGTTGAGTCACGCCCGTATCTTCGCAGAGAACTGAGGGGCCACATAACTAGCTTCACCTTAGCATTGTGGATGTCCCAGAGATAGATGTTTTCATGTGTGATCTGCATTGTACATTCCCCGTAGATATCTAAATTTGGTGTAGGCATCAGGTATACGTTGAACCGCTCTAAGGAGAGGGAGGAAGCAAAATAATACCATCATGGTAAAAAATGTGAGGAAGCTTTGAATAATGACTATAAAATCCAGTCTGTCCAGTGATGGACAGACATAACAACAAGATCGCCTTAAAATGCATCAGTGAAACTCCCTCAGAAGACAGGTCTGGAGGGAATAATCAACAATGTCCCTTTCCAATCATCTCTCCCTCTCTTTCTCTCTCTCTCTCTCCTCCTCCCCCCATCTCCTCTCTCTCTCTTTCACTACCACCTAAAAGCAGAAGAGAACCTGGTCATCCCACTGATTAGCAAGAAAGGGTACATCCCTTCAAACTGTTGTTCTAAGTTTTACAATTTTTGGCATGGTGTTCAAGCAAGCTTAAGACCAAGAATGTTTGTGTACAGGAATGTAGGTAGTAACAATCGGTGAACACATTTGAATGTCATGCTAAGCCACCCTGTGAATAAATTGTGGTGGGCTGCATGTTTGCTGAACAACCCACAGCACACCTAGCAAATGATGGGGCTTACTGGGGCTGTCTCTCACCTTCCCCTCAGTTCTCCCATTGGCTCTGGCATGTGCTTCAGTATCATTCATGGCAGAACCTGCCTTTCTCCCTCTTCCCACTCCCTCCCTCCCTCCCTCTAACTGAAATAGTTAGCTCTTTTCATTCACCATCATGTTGTTTTTAAATTTATTTTTGGACTTTCAGCAATGCAACTGGGGTCTTTTCCTTTTCCTTTTGCAAAGGGATCTGCATCAAAATGGATGTGGGGGGGAGTAGTTCACCTTTCTGAAGTAGTTAGTGGCCTAGAAAGATGTTTAAAAAGTGGAAGCACTGGAAACTGTCAGTTCAACTCTTAAAATTGAAAGGAGTACATTGTAAGGGTGCTCCCTGCTTTTGGTGCTCCACCTTTTCCTTCGTTTTTCCTCCTTATTGGTGCTTTTCAGTTGACAACTTGGCAATTGGTCCTGCCAACTGTGCTCAAAGTAGCCCACACACTGCCTACCTACTGCCCCTTTCTGCTTCTTTTGACAGCTGAAAAAGGCAAAGAAATTCACCAGGTAAGACTACACATATAGGACAACCATAAGAGATGCTTTGTGCACTTGCAAAAGACTGACCAAAAAAGACTCAAACAAAAAACACACAAAAGCCAAGCCAAGCCAAAAAAATCCCCAAGCAAACTCAAATCCAAACCCATAAACATAACCATAAACCAAAACCCAAAACACAAGCCCATTTTTTGTTTTTGAGGCACTGAAAAATAAAAGCCTAGAAACAAGTGACAGTCCTTCCAAAGTGCCTTTTCAGTATCAGTGGAAGGGCAGTTTTTGACAAGGTTGTGAAAAGCACATAGGCTTAGATTTTTTTATAGCATTTGCTGTCCAACTCTGTAGCCATTCCAGAAATCTTTGACAAAGTGGCCCTGTTGGATTCAGGTAAAATTGCAAGCCATCTTGGAAAAGAACAACCCTAGAGTAAGCCATGGGTTCTCATGGTGGCTTGTTCATGAAAAATATGGAAAGCCACTGAGAGATCCAGGAGTACCAACAGGGTCATACTTCCCCAGTCTTTCACCTAGTACAGTTCATCATTTAGGACAACCAAAGCTGCTTTCTTCTCAACAACTGGCCTGAACTATAATGCTCTGATTCAGCAAAAGAGCTACTCTGCACACCCATTCATCACTGCCAGTTTCCTCCAAATGGGCTGTTCTTGAACTAAATAACAACAACAACAACAACAACAGGGATGTTCCATCTCTGGGTTGCTTAGCATGATGTCTGAATTTACAACTGTCGGTTGTTAGGAAAGAGACAATCCAGAGTTAGAACCATGGTTTATTTCTGAGTTCCACAACAACCCACAATTCCAGATTACTCACAGTAAAGGACTCAGGGAAGTAGCGTCTTCAATGGAAGCATCAGGGCAACAAGAACTAGCTCAATCACTTGTTCCCAGTTCATTCACAACATTCCACAGTTTAACAAACTGTGGATTGCTGTGATGTGCAAACTGGGACAGCAATGGCTCTAAAGTTGTTGTACATAATCAACAAAACCTATACTAAAAATGACAGAAGTTACAACTTGGTGCATTCATTGCAAAATGATATGCAGACAGCACTGTAACTCTTTATGCTCCATATATACCAGCAACTCTCTATGCTTGTCTATTTTTTAATTTTGCTTGAGGAACTAGGGTGGCTGAAGAACTATCCTGAATAGGGTAAGATTAAAGATCCCGCATGGCTATAAGTAAACTTGTCATTCTCAATATTTTTTCTGTCTCAGTCCATTTAATTTTGTCCCACTGATGGCTCCTTAGCTGATTCACTCAGTGTCACAGCAATCCATCCTCTCCTCCGAGGCTATATTTCTCATTAATCACACTAATGGGCGTCAGCCTTGCACCAAGTACTTTAAGGCTAAAACCAAGTGCTGAAGGCTATGTCTTCTGATATTCTTATGTCGTATTATACAGTTCCAGTTTTCACACATTTCTTTATTGCTCCTACAAATGCCCCATCTTTAACACACAGTTTCTTTCCCTTGTACATGCAAAGATCAATTTATGCTGGTAACTGGCTGCCTCTTGTGAAGCCACATGTTCAATTAACTTCTTTGAGTAAAATTAACAAGTAAAAAGCAAAACAACATTTGCCAGTGATCAGTATGACAGTCATCATAAAATACAATTAGCCCCATCCATGTTAACAAGGAGAATCTGGTAGCAATGTGAAAATCCAGTATTTTGTGATGCTGTGAATTGAAGGGATATTACTTATGTACTAAAATTCAGAACTTTTTAAAGCATGACAAGTCCAAAGAGTTATCTTAGGCACTTCTAAAGTCTAGCATGTCTCTAATAGGCCTTGAAGGATAATTCTTTTGAAAATACCACCAGATGCTATAAATTGAATTGAATTAAAAAAGAGGGGTTTGTCATCCACCCAACTGAAATCACCTCCGGACTCAGAGAATTAGTTGCTTAAGACTTTGAACCAGACTATCATCCCACTGTCACCATTATATACCATATAAGATACTCCATGCACACAATATAGGCTACTTATTAAATTATCAGTATGATTTATAATTATGTTCAGAACCTTAGCTGGGTAAAGTCTAACATTCACCTTTTATATAAAATGCTGTCATTAGTATAAAAAGTCAACACAGTGATATCTACTCTGAAATGCTATGAATGAATTTAAAAAGAAGTAATTAGTATAACAACCCACCAATTTCAGCATGCTACAGTAGCAAAAGCTAAATCATCCATTTATGAATTTTCCTTCTAGAGGTGGGAAATATATTAACATAGAATGTGGGTGGATAACATCCTGCCAACACTCTAATAGCTTTCATTTCACAGTTGTGATTGCTCTAAGTTCCAGCTGGATTTGCCCACCTGGCTGGTTTTGTGGTACTACTTTCCTATTTGGGGGAGTCATGTAATGTTGGAATGAGGGACGGCCAAGAGAGTGCAGATCAGAAGTGTGAATGGGTAATGCTTTTGAGATTCCCTCCCAGAGACTCCTTCTGTGAATGCGCTTCATTATGTTGTACTGCTTATCAGAGCTGGCTGCAGGTGTATGCGCAACTGAATGTATAAGAGAGAAGGCCGAGTGAATCAGCTGTTACTCATGGATGACTCCTGTTTGCTGCTTGTGCATAAAAGCTAACACTCAGAGATCTGGGAATCCTGATGTATGACTCCTTGTGCTATGCACAAGGAGGAGTGTTTGGATGTGGGCTGTGCATTTGGTCTGTTACTCTTCTGTCACTCTCATCTTCCATATCAATGGCAAAACCACGTACAACTTAATGGAAGAGGGGTTAAGTTTTTATTTTCCCTCAAAACCCTCCCATATTGCTTTGAATTTATAGATCTCTCTTGAGAAATAATATTAAAGAGGAGTATATTTTATTGCACAGTACAAGTAATCCATTTTTAGCATTCAGGTAAAATAAAACTGAAATCTTCTAAAAGTTCAACAGAAGGGGGTGCAACCATATCTTGCTTGTATTATTTGAAAATGTTATCGGGAAAAAGGGTGTTCAGAAGACATGATATATTCAAAATGTCAAAAGACATTTGTCTTCTTTGCATTGCAGGTCAGTGTCTAAGGTGAAATGCCGTGGATTAAGAAGAAATGTTTCTGATTAAACCAAACATCAGCTGCAAAGCAAAGAAATACAACTAAGTGACATTTCTCAAAATTGGAGGCAAAAAGCTGTGTGTTGGCAGTTTAGAAAATGTGACTAGAGACTAGAAAGTGAACAGAAAATAAAAGGATTCACATCACAAGACACTGAATAGAAATGAATTATTGTCAGCAAATGATGCATGCCATGAAAAGATTTGCAGAGAATCTTTCTGTATTTTGTTTTATGAGTTTTTCAGTTTTGCTAACGTATATGTATGCACAAGAAATGAAAATCATTCTCTATGTTTCCCTTGTTAGAAAGACAACAACAGTTGGCAGTGAAAGCGTTGAGCTAGTATCTGATGAACGGAAAAAGACAACCATGGAATCAAACAGTCTGTAAATGAACAAGTTTAAATATCCAAATATCATTAATTCCCTTTTTTGGCATTATACAGCAAGTGCCAAGTGCTCTGCTACAGGTGGAAGGAGAAAAATGGAGATAATAAGATAATTTTATTGTTTTGGGGTTATTTCAGAATGGTTTGTGAGTACTATATTCCCTTAAAATCAACTCAGGCCAGATTGCATGCATGCATGCATAAATAAGTAAATTGGGTGACTTATTATATATTGTTAATTTGTTTTATATTTTTAATGTATTATATTTTAATTTATGTTGTGAGCCGCCCCGAGGCTTCGGCAAATGGGGCGGCACAGAAATGTTTTAAATAAAATAAATAAATAAATAAATAAATCAGCCAAGTATGGTAGAGCCGGGGGTAGACCTTCCCAATCCCCATCTCCAGCTTGAGCCCAAATCTAATAACTAATGGATGAAAAGCAAGACATTCTGATCAGGGTTAGTTTTCAGGTTGTTAGCTTTTTACAGTCTGACTTCTGGTTGCCTCTCAAAATGTGATTTTCCTTGTAAGGTCAGGAACATAATGGCTTATTGGAAATCCTTGTCAGATGTTGTGTATTTTCAAATATACTTTTAGGAACAATAGTCTGGTTTAGTTTATCATCAGAAGCATGCCATGGTGACCACTGAGCTTCTGCTTTCACTTCAGGATTTAAATAGCTCAATATTTTGATGAACTTTGGTTAGAACAAACCATAACACCTGAGTTTATGTATAACCTGGAACTTCAGATTGTTCTGAAGTGAAAGATGAAGCAACAGAGGAAACATGTCTCACAAAAAATGGAATCACCATACAGATGATGCTGGGATAAGGAGACCTTCTCTACTCTCAGATTCCTATGCGACTTTCTTCTTTTTTATCACACAATTACTATTTCCATAAACAATGTCATACCTGCTTTGGCACTAAAACTTAGCTACTGAATGAGTCCCTTGACAATAGATGAAAGAGTTGTCTTGGAGGCCATCAAGTCCGATAATCAGCGCTATTCATTTATTATATTTATTCACTGCCCATCAGCTCACAGTCTCCTCGGACAGTTTACAAAATCAGAAATAACATGATTAATGTAAAACACATATAAAAGACACATATAAAAGCAACCATCCCATTAATAAATACTAAAATACAGTAACATAATACAAACTTCCCTGTATCACAACTAAATCTCATTCAGAGGAACAGTAAAATATGGCAAAAATGAGGATTAAAATATAACTATTAAAATATTGAGTAAATAAAAAGGTTTCCACCTGATTCTAAAAGGAGTGGCAACCAGGTGCAACTCTCTGGAAAGCTGATTTTACAAAGGGGTGCTACAACTAAGAAGGCCCTTTCCCTTGTAGTCTCCCTCCTTGCTTCCTTTGGGAGGACATGTGAGAAGGACTTCCACTGATGATATCAGAGTTTGGGCAGGTACATACAGAAAGAGGTGTTCCTTCAGATAACCTGGCCTTGGACCCCACTTTATTTTTTGGGGAAAAAAGATATATATATATTCTGTCCTCCATCTGTGAAGGAGTACACACCGACATGCAGACCAGTGACTGAATTAGTCACCTAAATCTGGATGGTGTTTATTGCCCTCACAGAATTACCCCTCATATAAATTTGATGACTCCTACATTTATATACATCTATTTTCAAACATATACACTGATGCATCATTACATATTATCCCAAAATCTATTAAATCTGCTTCTGCTTCAGACTTGGAGGCCATCCTCAGACAGCACATGCCTCTCATGCTGATGAGAAGCTCCAGTAAAAGGTCACTAAGATTGGAGACTGGAAAGGGGACTATTCCTTGAATGAAGTACTTCGACTGTGAAAAGAATTTGGCAACAGCCATTAACCCTCCCACAGAGCCCTCTCTTTAAATCGTCTGCCTATGTATATGGTTTCACCTCAATAAAACAAAACAAGTAGAAACCAAAAGGATTTCAGATTTTAATCATATCACTTTGCATAAATCATTCCAGATGGAAAACTGCATACAAAGCACAGCTAAGCTGTCAACCAGATGCTACCGACGCTGAACTGCTTTGATGTGCAAATAGACTGAAAATGGGTGAACAGCAGAAGAAGTAAGAACAGTTTCTCATATATGTAGCAGGATATATAAAGCACAAGACAGACAAATAAGAAATGGAACAGATAGGATTAAATGTATTTATTTGTGTGTTTTTTTTAAAGCCCAACTGATTTCTCTTAAGGGTTTGCACTTTAAAACTACCCCTGATACAAGCATTTGGCAACCAATGAGGGACACCATTAATTCAGAATGTTTGTACAAGTTCCTGTCTATTAAGCATGCCAGGTGCAGGGGAAGAAATGAAATAAATAAATACATAAATAAATAAATAAGAGTTTACAGTGGATTTGCCCAACATTCTCTACTCGCTTTAATGTGATGGAGCAACATTTCTGTGATAACCCAATTAATTTATTAATGAATGCCATGTGCTGAAATTTAAGAAAAGGAATCCTAGTGGGGCTATGAAAGAGGAAATGGCCCAGGAGTTAGGTTTCGGAAAGAACAGTGACAGCTGGTGGCCAATGTGACTGGTGGGGCAAGCAGGTCAGCTTATATGAAGCCAAAGGATCAGCTGCGGTTGGTTTTACTGCATGGCTTTTCTTCCAATCGTTTTAGTGCATGGCTTTTCTTCCAATCAAAGCCCCAAAGAAATGGTAAAAAGGCAAACAGACCCAAGCATATTTCTTCAGCCCCAGAGCCACTAAATGGGCAACAGAACACACATACACAGAGCTCCACAGCGAGGAGATATGGTTCTGATAAAAAATTCAAGCTCACTGTAATATCTTGCTCAGAAAAAATGTCACTGACCCACCACCACATCTTGCTCGAAGCAAAAAAGGAAAAGTATGACCAGCAGCCGCTATGTCTTTTGCAGCAAAAATGACATAGAACAACCATATCCCTGGGAAAAAGGCAATGTCTCGCAGCAAAAAGAGTCACTCCCCACCAAACAGAAGGGAGAAAATAAAGACTTCCACTCCCCACCAAGCAGAAGCGAGACAATAAATGCACATGCTTCTGGCCAATTGTTCTCATTTGGGCAGAAAACAGGTGGGGGAACCATCCTCATGCTCCCTCTCACTCAGATTTTTTGGGTCTTTACTTGCTTTAATCCACAGCAAGGAGTGAGGAAACAAGCAATTGGCCAATGGCATTGAGTAAGCAAAAGGAATGGTAAAAAAGAATCACCAAAAGAAATTAAGTTGCTTCTCCCACCCAGTCCCACTGGATGGCAGGTGGTCCCATTCTAAGTGGCACCCATTCAGCCATTCCCCTCCAACTTTGCTCTGACAGGACAGGGGACAGCAGGACAGTGTGGCTTCCACACTGTCTCCCTCCCCTTCCTGCCCATTAGGAAGAGCACTTGTAAGCTGTCCCAGTCCACGCAGGCTTTTCCAGTGTTTCTCCCCACCACTCTGTCTTTCATGGAGAGGCTGTTCTGAACATGTATGGTGCATCCACATAAAGAAAATAAGAGACAGGAGAGCGGCACAGGGGAAGAATACTCCTCAGTGAAGCTGGCATCAGCCAATCCTATGTCATGCTGGCACAATGCATGGAGAAAGTAGATGTACAGGCAGGCTAGATTATTTTTTATGTGGATGATGGATGGGAAGCTCAGCCACAGTTGGCTGCCTGCCACTCTCCCAGGCCAACAAGACCCTGTGAATGAAGGTCTTTAAGCAGTGTGAGCTGAGAATAGCATTGGCTATGCCTCTAAGACATTAACTGCAGAAACTGGTATCATCTGTACAGATTTCTTAGGATCTGTTCCAATGGGGAAAGCAGCCCTGGAGCTTGGTATGGAGAACAACAGAGATGTTTAGCAATGGTAAAAAGAATTGATAGAGAGATCCTGTGCCACTAGGAAACATCTAGAGGTCTACAGGAGTTTTGAATTCCCAGATGCATAGTGAGAAAACAGCTCCAGTCTTGCGGCTGGCGTTTCTCTGCTTGGATTCCTCTCCTTCTCACAGCTGGCATGGAAAGATCCATGTTTGATGCTTTTCTGAGCCGGTAAGACTAACCTTGGTGAAGGTGTTTAGGGGTATTCAAAAGAGCATGGAGGGGAGGAGTACACCAATTATAGCTGAAGCTCTCTTGATGGTTTACAACAATATAAAAAAAGAATACAATCAAATGCAGTAAAAATTCTGTAACATCTTATCGAAAGATGATGGTATTTCTAAAGCTTTCTAAATTCCAGTGTGCATTTATCCAACAATTTTTCCTTTTACACTGATGATTTCTCTGTACACACACACACAATCGTGCATGCCTAAAAATCAGAATGTTTAGAAAAACATGGTGTCAGCATATCTTCTAATCTACAGGTGATCAACTTCTATGATTTTTTGCTTTTATGCCAGTAAGTGTACATGCACCAGTGACTTGTCACATTTTGACGCTACAAATCTCATACCAAGATCCTGTAAAATCCAGCAAGCTAAGATGTTACAAAAAGACCAAGATGCTTTTAAAAATAATTTTTGAGAGCAGAATACTTAGAATAGCTCTGTGAACAGATGAACTTGACACCTACCATTTTGCTCTCTCTGAACTCCTGCAGCAAGTAGATCAGGCTCACCAAGGCTGATATCATTAAGTCTGGTTCCTAGACATTCTATACAAAGATGCTTGCACCACTCTTCTGCCTCAAGCTCTGAAAGAGAAAACACAGCGACCAATAAACGAACCATCAAGGGTAACCATGACATAATGGCAGCATTTACATCAATTAAAAAGAGGCTGACTCCTGGGAGAAGTATTTTGCTTAAAGACTACGAATTGAACACCCTCCAGTTTTAAAGAAAATAAATAGGCATACACCTTTCTTACTGTATTGTTCCTTTCCTTAGAAACAGCAAGATGATTTTAAACCCATCAACAAGAAGTTCAAATTAATTGCAGTCTGCTCACTGTGCTGGAAATTGGATCGTTTGAATCATTAAGGCACATCATTTTTGGTTTCAGATGAATTCATATCATCAATGTGCTTTCACCAGGTGAATTGTGCAGTGGGAGCATGGAACCTGCCTATGACATTTTAATTGTTCTGCCAGCAGATGTATCCAGCGTATTTGTTATGTGCATGGCATAAGAGTTATTAGGACAAGAAAAGAAAGGGTTAATGCTAAATGCTAAGGCTCATGGTTTTACAAACAAACAAACAAACAAACAAACAAATGAACGCACAAATGAATGAACAGCTTCAAGTTTTAAAAAGTTGCCTTTAGCTTGCCATTTCACTCCAATAGTGGACTTTTGGATTCTACAATCACGAAGGTTTTGCCAGAACAAGATGATCAGAATGCCCTACATTGCAAATTTTGCAAACTGCATATGGATCTTTCATCATGCATAGCAAGAAAGGTGGTGTAAACACATCCTAATATGTAAACTGAAGTAATAGAATAGTTTATCTTGAGTTCACTCATGTAATACCAAAGACATCCTAGCTGGACTCTCAGCCCAACTATCTTACAGGGTTGTTGTAGTGAGAGAAAATGGATCTATAAAAGCTGTCTTGGCTTTATCACAAGAGGGAAAAAAGGAGCATATAAATGCAATAATCACCATCATCATCGAATGCATAATTATGCTTATGTTAATGAGACAAGGATGATTCTAGATTCTGTGTTTCCTTGAAGTTCATACAAAATACAATTATTCTTTCTTTATGGTAGGTTTTGTTTAATTCCAAATTATCTGGTTAATGTCCTATTTTACAGAGTACAGTGTGCTTCATGTCCAGTTTAAATACAAAGAACCATCAGAAGGAATTGGTAGGCCTAAAAGTGTCCCATCAACAGTATCTCAACAGCAGACTAATCAAGGCATATAGTTAACCTCGTCACCAAATTCCATACTATGTTGAGAGGTGCTACTTTGCTATTTAAATTTCATTAATTATTCCTAGGTTTGCATCTATGCATATACATGAACATATACATATTCATGCAAACTGGCACACATCATTTTCTCTCTTTTGGTGATCTCTTTCTTTGGAGATCCTTAAGACAATAAGCTACCTGCACATTAGACTCAAGACCTCCAGTATTCCAGTAGTGATATTTCACTGCTATGCCAAATTGTTTGATAAAGCACCAGGTGGTATTTATAACTTGGTATTAAACCAGAGAGAAAATATTCCTTGCCAGGGACCATGGCTTAGCACATCCTTTCCATACAGCTTGTTCCATAGTCAGTTCCTAATTTCTTTAGGCTTGGAGAGTTGGTGCTGATCAATGTCAACATGATGGACCAGCTTCTTGTTTTCCTAGTACCCCCACAGTCAGAAGTTGCTTGGAACAAGTGAAAAGGACTTGGGATATGACATAGACCATCAGCTGAGTATACTGCCAGCCATCCACAAACAGCACAGTGAGGGACCTGATAATCAAAGATCCAGGAGTTACATTTGGTGAACTAATGAATCAGTTAACTGGCTAAAAGCCAGATAATTAAGCAGCTGAAAATTCTGTATAACTAAATGATGGTTAGATTATTAGTTAGTGGATTATTTTTTATTTAAAAGCATGAAAGAAACATGGGGGATATAAAAAAGATAAATAGTATGGAAATATATATTGCTTGATTGAAAAATAAGTTAGATGTGAACACTACAATGGCAGTTAAAGAAAGGTACCTTATAAAGCTCTTCCTACTGAGAAAGAACAAGTTGAAGCAAGAAGTCCCTTAGCTATCAAATTTCAAGGAACTAGCATTTTAATTAGTTTTTGACATGAAAATTAAATACTTGGCTGATTTAGAATTAGAGCAATACAGAAGGATAATATTAGGTGATACAAGATGGGGTAAGGATGATACTGTTACCAGAAGAAAGACTGTACTGCAACTGTTTTTAATATAAGTAACTTCAAACAACAACAAAATGAAAAGTTGATATTACTGGTTGTAATTAAGGCTGGGCTAGAATTCCCATACCAAGTTCCTTATAATATTGCCCCCTGTGAAAATTGGAACTGATTGTCTACTAATTTAGCAGGTCAGGAAGAGAGTCCCCTGCACACAATCACACTGTTGTTTACCTTATTGAACCTTACTGAAGACTTTCTTCCCTTCTCCTTGCTTTTCATTTTTTTAACCCCATGATGTGGCTGAAGTAGTTTGTGCCACACTTGGCTTTTCCATTATTTTTTTAAAATTCTCAAGCTATTCCTAGAGGTGTAAGGCTCTAGAATACTTTAGGAGGGACTTAATATGGCATTATATCAGTTCAAAGGCATAGACGGAAGTATTGCTGACGAGAAGCACAGTGTACTGGAGCAGGAACCCAGAGCTTCACACTGGGCTTTTTGTCCACACTTCCCAGCATACCATGATAGCTGGCACAACCCCCCAAAACAGGGTGATCAGGTTCAGGGATCCACTTGATGAAAGCTCCCTAGATCCCCCAAAGGCCTGAACCCTAGTTCCTTTAGTTATTCCAAGCCATAAGCTGGTATAGTGGGAGAAAGACACGACTCACATTTTATCTTGGCTAGTATGAGTTGACAGGCCTTCTGATTTCCTGTGTCGCTACTGCACTGCTCCTCTCTGAACCCATCTTGGATCGTACTACCAGTACCAACTGGACTAAATATGCTTCCCTTAGAAATTAATAACATCATGATTCAGAAGCATTAATGAATTATCAGTGACTGATGAAGAATTGAACCTAGGGGTTGCGTTCAATATTAGCGCAACTTCAGTTTTATTTCAGCTGATTCAATCAATTGGATCAATCCTAAGTGAACAACTCATTTCAAGCCTTATTTTATTGTAACCGGCACAGGCAAAAACTTCAGACATGCTGCTCTGCTCTGGAGAGGTTTAAAACATGAGATGAAATATGAAGAGATGGTTGGCTCCATTTTTGCACTGCCTCACTGGCATAACAAATGTTTTTTGCAGCCATGCTGAAAACTTTCCTCCTGAAAGGGCTGCCTGACTAACAAGAATTGCATTGCTATTTCCAGTATTTACCATTAAAGTTTCAGGTCAGTTCATGAAGAACTATGCCATTTAGCAGATGGAAATATCTGGATATTTTATGGGCAGATAGAGTGAAGTTTCCTGTTTTTTCATAGTGTCATAAAAACCCAAATTCTATGATATCATTTCTGCGAGTTAAACACAGCAAAACATTCCATCAACTGCATTGGACTTGACGATTTCTATCTCAGAGTTGTGTCTAAAGTATTTACGATGATAGAAGCAGAAGGAGTTGTTTGAGGGAAAAGGAGACCACTATAAATAAAACAAAGCAGCCTCCCCACCCCTAATTTTGAGTACAATTCCTAGGATCTGGGCTAGGTCTATGCATGTGTGTGCAGTGGTTTAAACTGCTGAGCTGCTGGGCTGGTTGATCGAAAGGTTGACAGCTTGAATCTGCACATGGGGTGAGCTCCCGTGCTTTGTCCCAGCTCCTGCCAACCTTGCAGTTTGAAAGCATGCAAATGCAAGTAGATAAAAAGGTACCACTTGGATGGAAAGGTAACAGCATTCCATGCTTTTTGGTGTTTAGTCATGCTGATCACATGGCCACAGAAACTGTCTGCAGACAAACACTGGCTCCCTCGGCTAGGAAATGATGATGAACACCACCACCTAGAGTCAGGCATGACTGGGCTTTAATGTCATGGGAAGTGCTGTTCATGACCCTTGGGAGCTGAAGTATGCACATCCCTACTTTAAATGCTGCACTTCACATAATAAATGCAGGTAAGGCCAAAAATAAAAATTTGTTTTATGCATTGATTACCAAGTGCTCCACTTTTTGGGGGGTGGTATGTTTTTGTGCAGCAATTTTTTTTCCTCTCTGAAATAGCATACTTCAGTTGGGTCGGGGTGAGCTGGAATGACCATGAATGTCTGTAAGGAGGAAGCAGGTGATTTAATCAGAAGCATGAATTTGACTTTAGTTCAAGGATCATCACTGAAGTATCTTAGCACAGCAATGAAAAGAAAACACCTGGTGCTAGGTGAATTTCCCTAGTGACAGAATTTCATAACCATGAAGCTACTGCCTTTTCTCCCAGTCAGCACCCTCTGAACTTCAAATGTGATGACTCTATGAGTTGAACCTCTGTAGATTAGATTGGGTCATGAGTAGGCATATATAAGAAAAGGCATTATCCAAAACTGCAAACAGCTTTATAGGTCAAAACTGTTGCCAATTGCAGCACCCCAAAACACCCCAAAAGTAGTTGGCCAGAGGAAGGCCACTTAGTAAAAACACCACAGTTATACTGTCCCAGAAGGGTGGGTGGATAAGAACAAAATGAACTTCGTGTAACCCACAGCTAACACGAAGCTAGCCTGACCTCAAATACAGTAATCAAAGGGACAGTGGAAACTGGTTCTAGCTGCCATGAAAGTTGTACAGGGAGAAAGAACATGGCAAGCCTGTGTGAATCTCGAGCAGATAAGAAATAGACATGGGAAATGCCCAGTCCTTGACAGAAGAAAGGACTCTTTGATGATAACAGCAGTGGGGGTGTGGCTGCATTGATGTATTGATGCATTGGATGTGTATTAGGTGACCTAATTGGTTACCTAGGGTATAAAATGCATGTACCGGGGTGCAACTTTCGAGACACTGCTTTGGGCTGAATGTCCCCTTTTGTCTCCCTTTATTCTATAGTGCAGTAGAATAAA